TGTGCGCGGCCCTCCGTAGGGGCCCTTGGGAGCACTCTTGACATTTGGCATTCCAGCTGCCAGTGCCTTCCTCCTGCTGGGCCTTCCTCCCTCTGTTCTTCCTCGTGTCTCTTCCTCCTCTGTCTAGGTAGGGTCTTATTTCCCCGCAGTCAGGCCTTAAGCCCCGGAGGGAAGGAGCCATGTTTCCCCACCAATACCCAGTCACGTGAGCAATCAGACAAGCAGGCCCAGCTGGGAAGTGGGTCAGGCCTGGCTGTCGGTCCTCTGAAAACCCAGGGAAGTTCCTCAGCACCTGCGGCTTTAGGGTTAGGACCTGGGGAGTCACGTGGGCACTTCCCCTCCTGGTTTCTGATTTATCCCTATTCCCAGTTGCTTCTTCTTGATTGGTCAGAAGCAAGCGTGGTTCAGGACTTTGCTGTGTGGCTCACTTCCTCCACCCCAAAATGAACCATCGTCAGGCTTCCTGTGCTGGAGGTTGGATCGATCTGCATTTTTACATTCTAGAGACCGAATACACTACAGTGGTGCTACTCCGAGCGTGGTCCCTGGACTGGCAGCATCAGCGTCACGCGGGAGGGGACTATGTTAGAAATGCCCCACCCCAGACCTACCAAACCAGAAACTCTGGGGATGGATCCAGAAGACTGTGCACTAAGCCCATGGCACTAGCTCTTGATTTTGAGCTATCGGTTGTATAAGCACCTGCTTCCCCGACCACTGATTTTTATTTTTACAGTCTCAGGCACAATTAGTGGTTACATAGTCTTTTGTTTGGCTAGTTAGTTATAGTCTATCTCTGCCCGTTAGCCTATTAGCTTCATGATATCAGGAACTATATGGGCCTGGCTCAGAGAAAAAGCCAACAGATATTATTGAAAATGAATGAATGAATGAATGAATGAATGAATTGCTGGGGGTGCAGAAACTATAGGCTTTAACACGAATGTCATGTGTGACCTTGACCGAGTGTCCTGTTGGCTCCAGGCCTCTGGAGCTCCCTCTGTACAGAGAAGGGGTGGGCCCAGCTGACTTTGAGGGCTCCTGCTCCCTGTCACTTTAGCCAGGACTCAGTCTGATGCCTCCCCAATCCCACGGTCCTACACTGGAACCAACCGTGCCATCTCCTCCCTGCCCCCACCTCAAAGCCTTCTGTGGGTTCTGCTTCCTCCTCAACTGGTCTTCAAGCCTCCACGAGGTGGTCTCTACATACCTGTTGGCCTGACCTGCAACACCTTCACCCCAAAACAACCCCCGCCCCAGCCACACTGGTCTTGCCCTCCTCACGCCCTTGTTACGTTTCCCTCGGCCAGGGCACCTTCCTATGGCTCTGTCCCTGCCCCTTGGGACCCAGCCAAAGCTCCCTCCTGGAAGCGCTCCCTTCAGCTCCAACACACGGACATCCCGGTTAACACAGATTTCTAAACAAACATGTCCACAGCCAGACTTGAGAGCAAGAGGGGAAGTCTTCCCAAACCAGAAACAAGAGCAGACACCTAGGAAAGATTGGGGGGATGAAGCTCTTTGGAATGAAACGGGACATTCCAGGCGGTGGGGGCTGGGTAGCAGGTAAGAGTTTAACAGGTGTTTGTTATAGTATGACAAAGACGCTTTGCTTGACCAAACTTTGTTCAGTCAGGGCTCCCGAACCTTCTCCTGGGACATTTGTGCACTTCCTTGTGAATCCAGTTTTAGTAAGAACTCTGCTAAGTCAGTTTGGCAAGAACCGCCCCCGCCTCAATATTTGATCTCCCTTGATATCTGGTTGGGTTCCTCATCCTCCACCTTCCCCCAGGGGGCGTCTGCTCACCTTGGCCTGACTGCAGCAAGAATCCTGGTTGGGTCGGTTTAGCCAGAATGCCCCTTACCCCTGTGGTTTCCTCTTAGTCATTTTCCACCCACTGACCCCACCCCGCTCCGTGGCTGTAAATCCCCACTGGCCCCTGCTGTGTTCAGTGTGAGTCCAGTCTGTCCCCGTCACTGCAAGACCCCACTGCAGCGGTCCCCACCCCTATCACGACGGTCCTGAATAAAGCCTTCCTTACCGCGCTTTCACAAATGTCGTTGAATAATTTTTTTTCTTCAACAAGTATGCTGAATTTTTCAGATTCTTAAATAACAAAAAATAAGTAAATAAAATATAATACGTCCATATTCACAGGAGAAGGCCAAAAGGAATAAAATAATACAAAAGTTAAAGAGAATGAGGCCTTCTTAATACTTTTCTCTATTTTCCACAGCGTGCTTACACTGCTTTTCTCTTTAGTTTTGAAGGTGTTAGGAAATACTGACGCTATACAAACGAGCATCGGGGATAATACTGATCTTCACTCTCATTTACAATTAGAAGATCAAACGAGCTCTGAAAACTGCAAGTTTTTTCCTTAAATTTGTCGGTCAGCCGGCCTCGCTTCAGGACCAGCTTCAGGGTGAAGGAGATGAAGTTTGTAAACAGCGCCTTGATCCACTCAGGCTTGAGGGCAGCAAGCGCTACAGGGACCCCCCCCCCCCGACCAGTCCTGTGTGTCCACTGAGCGCCTCCTGCGTGCCGGGAACCGTTCAGGGCTCTGCTAGCCTCGGAGTCCTCGTACAGCTCAGGAAGGAGGAATTATTACTCCCATTTCACAGCTGAGAATGCTGAGCCTCAGAGCGAGCCCCAGGCCCAAGCGTGAACCATGATACCATCCCAGCATTCTTCAGAAGGGCCCAGTTCCCGTGACGCCCACAGCTGTCACACACACGTGTCCACCTGCTCCAAGGGGCAGAGAAATGCCTGAATCCAGGGCTCTTCCCCAGGCCCCACCCACCAAGCCCTCCAGGTTTGCCATTGGTTGTGTGAATTGGGCCTCAGTTTCTTCCTCTGTGCAACGGGGCTATTTACAGTTCCTTAAAGGAGAGGTTTGGCCAAGACAAAGAGCCTCACCCTAGAAGGTATCCAGGAGCTTGGGTTCTGGGGTCAGAAGACGCTGGTTCGAATCCTGCTGCCATCCCCCAGTGGCGGGCTGAGTGTCCTCAGCAAGTTATGTAGCTTGGCTAAGGTTTTAACTGTGAGTTAGTGTGATGCCTGGGATGATAGATATGAGTTTTTCTTTTCCTCCTAACTGCTCCGTGCCTCAGTTTACCCATATGTAAGAAGCAGGATAATAACAGAATCTGTCTCCTACGGTTGGATTGTGAGGATTAAATTAATTAATTCATGTAAAAGGCTTGGCACATGGCAAGTTCTCAACCGCTGCTACTGTTTTTTCCAGCCTTTGAGGGTGTATTGATGGGGAGGGGTAGGAAAGGACCCCACTGAAACTATCGCTCCCCCAGGTTTGGCTGCCCACAGTCACGCCCTGGGTGGGGTTGACCCTGGAGGGGCTGTGGGCGCACTCACGGGATGGGGCATGTGCTGGCAAGGGGGCCACAGAGGTGGTGTACTTACTCACGCCCCCCTTGGACGTCCACGAGCAGCGTATGGAAAGACAGGTAGCAGTCGGGGCACTGGTGCGCACACCGCCAGAGTCGCAGGCTGCAGAGCGACCCCAACACTACATCAGGGCAGCCTCAGCTACTGCGTAGTAGCCACGTGCTGCTGGGCAGCTCTGGGCTCCCCGACCCTGCAAACTTCCCAGGCCCTCTTTGGGTGGCCTCAGAACCCCGCCCCTCTGCTGAGGCCACCCTCCCACCCCCAGAGTCCAGCCTCCCTTCCTCCCCAGAGGACGCTGGACACATACTCAGCTGTGTGGCTTTTTTTTTTTTATTATTTCAGAATATTACCGGGCTACCAATGTTTAGGTTTGCATATATTGCCTTTGCCCTGCCCGAGTCAGAGCTACAAGTGTGTCCATCCCCCACTCAGCTGTGTGTTGACATGGGGGTCAATGGCGGAGTTGATCTCGAAGTCGACAGACTGCTCACTGCTTAACCTGCAAACAGCCAAGGACCTAGGACCCTCACTGCGCCCTCCAGCCCAGAGAGGGCCGGGGAGTGTCGTGTCGGCTGGGCGGGAACGCTTACCCCCGGCAGCCGCGTAGCCGTACTTCAGGGTCCCCTCGAAGTTCACAGACACGTTCTGAATAGAGGTGTAGGTGGCCTTGGCTTCCACCTGCTCTTCCTGGCTGCTGACGATGGACAGGTGGCTGCTCTCGGTGCCCAGTAAGGAAGGTGTCATGGGCCCATCATGGGCCCAGGAGGCTGGGGGCTGTGGGGTCGGGGGTGGGGGTGGTCCCAGTGTCATCACAAGGGTGTTGAAAGTGGGACAGCAGGTGAAAGAGGAGAGCGGGGAGGTGTGACTAGGGAAGAGTGGCCAGAGACACACGACCTCGCTGGCACGGACTTGGGGCAGGGGCCGCCAGCTATGGCCCAGGAGCGGCCTCTAGAAGCCGGAAAGGCCAAGGGAACGATTCTCCCCGGAGCCTCCAGAAGGAACCAGTTCTGCTGACTCCTTGACTTTAGCCCAGGGAGATCCGTGGTGGACTTTTAGCCTGTTTAACTGCAACACAATAAACTTGTGTAGTTTTGAGCTACTCAACTTGTGGTAATTTGTTACAGCGGAAAATAGGAAACTCATGCAGAGGGCTTCCGTGAGATGCCATGGGGGGGCGGGGGTTGGAGGGTAGTAAGTGGCTCAGCTTCCAAGGTGGCCCCAGCCAGGCCTGGGAGGGCCCTGAACGCAGGGGAAGGAGTCGGGTCTGGGGTCTCAGGGGTGGGCACGATGGAGGATCTGTACTGCAGGGGGCTTGGTCAAGGACCGGAGGGCAGGGAACAGAGGCAGGGCGGTCACTGGGACACACTCAGATTCTCTGGCCCTCTACCCACACCAGCCTCTTGCCAGGGTCCCGGCTTGAGCACACAGAATACGACACTGTAAAAGCAGCTACCGTGCACCCAGCACGTGCTGTGTGGCAGGCACTGCGCTGAGAGTTTACATGCATTCCCTGGTTTCATCCGCAAAGCCCCTCCTCGAGGTGGTTACTATTGTACCCACTGAACAGACGTGGAAGTGGCGGGGACAGCTCATGTGGCTTCAAAAGGCCTCAGCAGAGCTGGGGTTTGATCCTGGGTCTGCTCCACTCCAAATCCTGCATTTTAAGCCACTATGAATAACAGTTATATGGTGATGAAATCTATTTTATGGCAGTCTGATCTCACCGAATTATTGCTGATTTATTAAGGATAATATTAATATCTCTTTTAACCTCTCAAGACGCTTTTGCCATCTTCTATCTCTTGTGACGTTGGTCTAGGATCCTCCTGCTGCGGCCTCCCGGAGTGCTGGGATTACAGGCGTGAGCCATCGTGCCCGGCCAAATCATTTTTATTGTAGTTGAATCATGTTTACTACTTAGTGAGATTTCACCATTTTTATCATTTTAAAGTACACAATCCTCTCTTACAGAAAGGTGACCTGAAGCCCAAGGTCACGCAGAGCAGGAGCTGAGCTGGACCTGGGTCCCCACCCCAAACCACTTACTTAGCTGCGGGAATTTTGTACAAAAGGTAGAGCAGCGTCGCCAGCGCCCCCTAGTGGCCCAGAAACATTGACGGGCTCCGGTACCTCGTATCTGCATTTAGCAGAATCCACCTCCGTGGATCCTGTTTTAGAGGGGTTGGGGAGGAGGGAGTTGGCTTTAAGATAAAGGTAAGGTCCCTGAACAGTGTCTGCCCCACCTTTGGGGCTCCTCAGACAGACACGCAAATGGGGACCCGGGCTCCGGGGCAGCCTGACGTGCCAGGAAAGTGGCTGAGTCCCAGGGGCAGAACTCTGTGCTCAGACTGGGGCTGCACGTGAGCCCTGCCACTTCCCCGTCTCTGTGTGACCTCCGAGCCGCTTAACCACTTGGAGCTCCTGCTTCCTTATTTGTCAAGCAGGGCCATTAGGGGGATATGAAAAAGATAAAATGAGATCCTGTTTGTAAAGGCCAGGCCACTAGCCCGCCCTTGGCTGTTACCATCATCGTCCCTGGGACTGCAGGTGCGCACCACCATGCCTGGCTAAGTTTTTCTATTTTTAGTAGAGACGGGCTCTCACTGTTGCTCAGGCTGGTCTCGAACTCTTGAGCTCAAGGGATCCTCCCGCTGCGGCCTCCCAGAGTGCTGGGATTACAGGCGTGAGCCATCGTGCCCGGCCAAATCATTTTTATTGTAGTTGAATCATATTTACTACTTAGTGAAATTTCACCATTTTAAAGTACACAATTGAGTGTCATTTAGTATATCCCCAGTGTTGTGCAGCCATTGATTTAGTTGCAGGACATTTTTATCACCCTCAAATAAAACTCTGTACCCAACAAGCAGGCACTTCCCCTTCTGCCCTCCCCCACCCCCTGGCAACCACGAAGCTGCTTTCTATCTCTATGCCTTTGCCTTTTTGGACATTCCGTGTAAATCATATGATATGTGCTCTTTTGTGCCTGGCTTCTTTCACTCAGAATAATGCATTCGAGTTTC